ACACAGACACAGAAATAGAGGCAAACGTATGGACACCCAGGGGGGAAAGCTGGGTGGTGGTGGTGGTGGGATGAACTGGGAGATTGGGATTGACATGTATACACTAATATATATTAAATAGATAACTAATGAGAGCTTGCTGTATAAAAAATAAATAAAACTAAAAAAAAAATGGCATCTTGCCTGTGGTTCACATTCAGAAATGCAGGGTCCCAGCATGTCCTTAAATGTCTCACCCCTTCCCACGCCCCCACCCCTAGGCATCCCGAGGGTAGGCAGATTGGCCTCCTCTTCTCTTTCTGGTCCCCGGCAAGCTGGGGAGCTGGGGCGGCAGCACGGCCCGCCCCTCAGGTCCTCCCTGTGCTAGTGCTCTGTTTGCTCACACGACAGCTCTATGAAGAGAATGATGATACTGTCACCCCATTTTTCAGGGTAGGATGCTGAGCCCAGAGACGTTAAGGCCCTGCTCAAGCCAGGACCCCAGTTCTGGGTGGTGCCTTGAGCCTGTGGCCGGAGCCCCTAGAAAGCCGCAGGACTGGAGCCCCAAGGCAGGGGTGACCAAAGGGTGCTGTCGGGAAAGGAGTGAGTCTTGGCGGGGGGGTGGCATGGGAACTGGACGTTACAGCACGGGCAGCCCCAGCCCATAGAGAATGGCGGCCGGGGAGGGGTGGGCATACTGGGTACTTTGTAAGTGCCAGACCCAAGCCACCCAGGCCCGTGCGTCTGAGGGAGGGCAGCGGTCACGTTCTCTGTCACGTGCAGGGAGCGCCCCTCCCTTGCTCTCTGCCGCTGGGGGCAGTGCGAGAGAGGGGCCCACTTCCCTAGCCCCGGGCTGGCAGATGGCTCCCTAACTGACCCTCAGTGGAAACAGTGCCCCGCAGGGGCATGTTAGACATCTGTGAGGTGTCTGTGGCAGTGGCAGTAATTGGGGCACTACAGGCACTTAGTGGCTGGGGGCCAGGCATGCTGGTGTGTGACAGCGGCACACAGTGACGAATGTCCTGCACCCACTCAGCCCAACCGTGCAGGGCCCTGCCAGACACGGTGTCAGTGAACAGCCTCCCTCAGCTCCTTGCAGGACTGTCTCCAGAAGCCCACCAGATGGCCTCTAGTGTCTAATACGTGGCCAGTGCCCACAGGGCATCTTAGTGCCCCCCCCACAGGAAACATAGCGCAGCACATGGGCGCGGACGTGTGCCCAGGCATGACAGGAAGAGGGGAGGGGAGTCCAATGCCAGAGGAACTGTGTCGGCCGCAGTAACGGGTTGGGTCTGCCTGGAGGAGGTAAGCCTGGTATTGGCCTCGGCACACCAGGCAGTGTATTGTCAGGACTCTTTGGGGTGCACGTGCAAAAATAAACCAAGTCTTTAACTAGGTTAAGAAAAAGTCAGAGGATTGATTGAGGTAGCCTGAAAGCCAGAGGTATGTGTGGCCGCAGGCACAGCTGGACCCAGGTGTTTTGACATGTTATGGGACCCGGAGTGCCTCCCTCTCTCAGCTCTGCCTCAGTGATGGCTCCACATTCAGGTGGGCCCTTCCTTTGAGGGTCTCTCTCTCCTAATAGTTTATACAGGTGTCCTGGAGCTGGTAGGGTTAGTCTCATTTGACAAATTTGGATTCTTTGTCCACCCCAGACTGTTCACTAAGGCCAGCAGGATGGACCGGCCAGGGCCAGACCCTGTGTCCACGCTGGAGCCGTGGGACAGAGGAAGTCCCACCCAAACTGCTCAGACTGAGTCGGGGAAAGAGTGCTTTCCTTCAGGCAAGCAGAGATTCTGGTGCCCCAAAAGGAGGGAATGGGAGCCACATAGGTAGAGGGGGCAGCCATCCAGCAGAAAAGGATGGAGCAGATCAGAGGGGATGGGCTGTTCGCTGCCACCTCGAAGCTGATCACTGCCCCAGCATCCTCCACTGAGTAACACTGCACAGGTCAGACATAGTGGGTCTGCCCCGGTACATGCGTCTGCTTTGTCACACCTCATGCTGCCGGGACAGCTGGGCATGCTCTGACCAGCAAGAGGTGGCAGCGCCATGGGGGCTGTAGCAGAGGGCAAGGTGCTGGAAAATGCCTCCCCCCCACCCCGCCACTGGCCCAGGAGGGGACCTGGACAGGAAGGTCAGGCCCAGTGTGAGCCGCATCCCCCGGGGCCCCAAAGGCAGGAAGACAAAGGGACAAGGCCCCCCTCTGGCTCTATTAATTGCTTGTTAAGCTTGACCCCCACAGGGCTGGCCCAGCCAGACAGCTGCCACTGTCCTTCAGGGTGCATCGGCAAGGCCCCTTCCTCCCGCCATGCCTGACCCTTCCTACCTTCCTCCTTACCCATCTCCCCTACCTTTAGTCAGGGGGCTGGGCTGGACACCAGTGTCTGAGATGCAAGTCCAGGGCTGTTGGCTGGAGCACAGTAGAGGTTAACCTTGGGTCCAGGCTCTCCCACTTACTAGCTGTGTGACCTTGAGCAAGTTACCTCACCTCTGAGCCTCAGTCTCCCCATCTGTTAAACAGGATGGCTACCGGGCAGAGCTGCTGTCATGGTTGAACGAGACACAGTGTTGTTGAAATGGACAAGATGAGAGGAGTTGGGAGATAGAGAGGGTGGAGTGAGAAATTGAGGCCGTGCCTGACAGTAAAATGCCAAGGACCCATTCATCTCACAAATGCTGCTGAGCACCAACAACTATGTACAGAGCGTTGTGAGGTGGGGGTGCCGTGAAAAGCCAGGAGATTATCCCTGCCCTGAGGAGCAGCACACACAGCACCAGCTGTAACGTGGAGTGGTCGGTGTGCGTGGGGGCAGACTCTGCCTGGGGCGTGGAGGAGGGCCTCCCTGAGGCAGTGACACTTGAGATGGGGAAGAGCCGGGGGAAGGATGTTCTGGACGGTGGAGCACCCTGAGGTGAGGTGACCCTGGCTACCTGGGGAACAGAAGGAAAGACTGTGTGCTTGGAGGCCAAGGTAAGGAGTTTGGAATTTAGGGATAATGGGAAGCTATTGAAAGAGTTTAAACAGGGACAGTTATTGTGTCCATTAGGATCAGGTTTGACTGTGAATATCCGAGACCTAGAAAATAGTGATTTAAATGAGGTATAAGTTTAATTTCAATGTAAAAAAAAAAAAGTCGTCAAGGACCTGACTGTTTTTAGATCACCCATCCACTGTCCCCAGGGTGTAGACCTTGTCTTCATGATCCAAGTTGGCTGCTAGAGTTCCAGCCATCACAGGCTTCAGGAAGGAGGAAGTGAGAGAAAAAGGGTGCATCTTCCCTTTACAAAGACTTCTCCAAAGACCTCACTACACTTTGGCTTACCTCCCCATGGGTAGGACGGGTCACATGGTCACATCTTTGCCCCAAGCAAAATTAGGAAAAGAAGTCTTTAAGTCGGATATCAGTGTGCCCAGTTAAAAAAATTGTGTGTTCTTTCTCTACGGTCTCCTTCTGGCTGCTATGTGGCAGACAGACCGAAGAGAAGCAAGAGGGAGGCAAAGAACCCTTGGGAGGGGGCTCGGGGCAGCCAGGGAAAGATGGTGGTGGCTCGGACTCAGGGCTGTGCAGGAGTAGATGGGGAGAAGTGGACATTGGGAGGGAGGTGGCAAAATCAAGGATGACTCCTAGTCTTTGAGTCTGAGCAGTTGGGCCGATGGTTGTGGCGTGCACTAAGCTGGGGAAGATGGGAAAGAAACAGAAGGGCAGACAGAGAGGTGTCGCCAGCACAGGACCTTGCCCCACCCCCGTCTCTGCCACACCTCGGTGATGAGATGGAGCTGGGAGGACAGCGCCAGGCCAGCCTTCCCCAAACCATGCACTGCATCCCACTGGAGTGGGATTCCCAAGATTCCAGACCACACACAGAGGAGCATGAAGTGGCTTTGTGGAGGCCCATGGTTTCTAAACCACACCCTTGAGTGGCCTGGCTGAGGCATAGTGCAGCTCTAGGTGGGAGGGTGTCTCTCCCCCAGCAGGAAGTCTTGCCCTACCCATCCCTCAGGTCCCGACTCCCTTCTCACAGATCAGGCAGGAACCTTGAAGGAGGGGTCCACAGGAGGAAGTCTGGGAAACTGGCCCGGTTTATCACAGTCATCCCACAGGTGGGAAAGCAGGCTGAGATTTCCCAAGGTCACGCAGGCACACAGGAGCAGCATCAGCACATAGGCCCTGACTCACAGGCCTGTTTTTAGCCCCAGGTGGAGGCACCAACTCTGCTCACCCACGCCTGCATCCATGAGTCACCGCCTGCCTAAGGCACCCAACGCCTCAGTCCCAGGGCCAGCTTTGCAGGTGGCTGCCCCCAGGGGAGGCTGCGGTGCTGAAGAAACTCATCTTCTAGATGGACAGGGACCCACGCTCTCCTGGTGGGCAGCCCTCCCTGTCAGCTGAGGGTGACTTTGGGAATCCGAGGGCTGATGTCTTCGGGACAAGTAGTCCCTAGGGAGCTAGGTCTGGGCCAGCATCATGGGCATGGCCTGCTGGCCTCCAGGCCAGTTGTGGCTTCCTTCCCAGGGCAGGCAGGCAGAAGGGGACACAGTGCCAGCATTTTCCCATTGACCTTCTGCAGTAGACCGGCTCTGAGACATAAGTAGCTACTTAGCTGGACAGCTTGATTCCAGAAGTCTCCACAGAAGGCTTTGGCCCCACGTACCTTGGTGCAGAATGTTTTGTTGGCTACAAGTCTTCCAGGCGTTGACCTTGTCTCCTTCGTGTCTCTCCCACCGCGAAGGACACCTGCAGATTTCCAGCACCTCCGCTCGCTTCCTGAGCCGCGTGCAGCAGGCTGGGGAGCCTGGGTCTCTGGCTTACTTGGAGGGCGGCAGGGTTGAAAGGGCTCGAGAGTGGAGCAGTGGTCTAGTAACGATTACCGTGCCCTTGAGTAAAGGACCCTCTGTTGCTTCCCCTCTCCCTGACCAGGCCTAGGGCTGAGCCCTTGTCCCGGTGCCCTAGCAGGTGCCCGGCCAGGGCTTCTGTCCCCACCGAGGCCTCAAAGCCGCCGTCCATGTCTCCTCACAGGCCGATGCCAAGATGGTGTGTGATGTGGTGAGTCGAATGGAAGACACGGAGCCCTTCTCTCCAGAGCTGCTCTCTGCCATGATGCGACTCTGGGGCGACTCAGGGATCCAGGAGTGCTTCAACAGGTCCCGGGAGTATCAGCTCAACGACTCCGCCAAATAGTGAGTGTCCCAGGCAGGCGGGAGGCCGAGAGTGGGGCAGCAGTGCGGGCGTGGAAGGGGCTGGGGTCAGTGGGGCAAGGAGGCGCCCTTGCTGAGGTGGGAACCGCTGTGAGGTGTTCTGCCTCGGGCGTCAGGAAGGAAGGAGAAGGGGCTTCTCCTCCTGCCCCCGGGATGAGAAGGAGGCCAGGGAGGTGGGGGGCACAAGCCGACAACAGGGCTCCCAGAGGCCCAGGGGCCATCACCTGCTTGCTCTGGAGGGGGCCTGGCCCTCCAGAAGGAAGATTGTCAGTGTAGCAGTGTTTTTGCCCCCGGAGAACCCTTGACCCCATAAGTACAAATCAAGGGCAACATAGACAGAAAATAACTTACATGGTGCCCTTTTGTCTTCTTTTTGAGAAAATAATACCCTTTCCATTCCTTTATCTTTAAAATTAAAAATAAGGAATATGTAACCCATCAGATAAGTAAAATAAATAATCAAACATGCACTTTAATACTGTGTTATAACTAATAAGGGGAAGAAAAGGACAGAGGAGAGAGAGGGGCCCGGTGCGGCAGGCGAGGAGAGGGGGTGAAGCAGCTGAAAGCCAGAGAGGGCTGGAGGGGTAGGAGAGGGGAAGGCAGAGGGAGTAACAGGGGATCACAGGACTGCCTGCTGCAGCCTTGTCACTCCAGGCGTCTGGAAGTTTACATGCCCTTGGCCCCTAGATCGGGGGCTCCAGGCCTCTGGGAATGATCTGTGGTGGTCAGGGACATGCCTTCTGTTTTGAAGACATTGTCACTGCACTCCAGCTTTCAGGAAACGCACCCACTTTTACAGTCTCATGTCCAAGTTTTCAGTGGGAGCCTCTGGGCTTAAACCCCACTATCTTAGGACACCTGTGCTCCGACACTGATCTGCTCAGCTTCCTCACCAGCGCTTCTCACCTGGGGCCACTTTGCCCCCAGGAGACATTGGCAATGTTTGGAGGCATTTTCGATGGTCCTGACTAGGGTGGTGCTACAGATGTCTAGTGGGGTAGAGGCCAGGGATGCTGCTGATTTCCTACAGACACACTGTACAGTCCTCCATAGCAAAGAATTACCTGACCCAAAATGTCAGTATCGCCAAGATTAAGAAACGCTGGTCTCCACGGTGCCGATGTAGCGGAGGCTAACGCCAAGAAAACAGCGCTCACTAGTGGATGCTGGGACATTGCCATTGGCTGTGACGAGAGCTAACAAACCAGGGACTTGTCTTCCCATCTCTGCACACCTAGATTGTCCACGGGGCAGGTGCCTGGGTCCCGTGAGTCCCAGGTGGTAGCGACGCAGGCCCCAGCCACTGATGAGCCCCCAGGACACCTTGGTGGACCAGGGGTGCGAGCCCAAAGGTTCAAGTCCACACCTCTCTCTGTACACTCAAGTCACAGACCTCAACCCAGGTCGCCCCCTCAACGCACAGCCATTCGGGCCTGGAGAGAGTCCCCCCCTTCGTCTCCCCCTCTGTGCCCACTGCTCTGCCCAAGTCCAGGCCCTTCCCATCCCCCCACCACCCTCAGGGGCTTCTCAGGGCATCAAATCGTGACCCCCACTTAAATTGTTACCACTTAACTAATTATAATTTGAACCCATGGCAAAAAAATTTTAAAACAATACAGAAAGGTATAAAATTGATAGTGAATCCTCTTCCCAGGCCTGTTCCCCTCCCACTGTTAACTATCTCCATTTACTTGTCCCAGTGATGTCCAGAAAAACCTGACCCTCCAACTATAAATAGTATTTAATGACCTCCAGCTGTGAAAGCTGAGGGAGTCAGACCTTCCTTCCTTCCTTCCTTTGCTGTTCCCCACTTCCACCACCAGTTTTTTGCTAGTTTTACAGGATTATTTTTAGTTCTTCTGGTGGTTACCTTTATAACTTGAAATGAACGACTTGAGTCAGTACTTGTCAACTCCCCCCCCCCCAGCTAAGCTGAGGAGACCCGCCCTCCTCTCTCTGTCATCTCTGGGACGGGACTCCGAGGAGGGCAAGGGCGGGACCCACAGGCAGTCAGGTTCGGAAGGACCTTAAACACTTTCTGGTCCAGGGTTGCTTTGCTGTTGTAGTTTCAGCTGCTAAGTCTCGTCTTCTGACAAGAGCTGAGGCCCAAAATGTGAAACAGTTCAACATAGATTTGTGTGACAGAAAGGAGAGGCCCAGTAGAGCTGTCGCCTGGCACAGCTCCGGGGGGCACCAGTCACATCCTAGACTGTGTGAGTGTCTCTCCAAGGCCCAGAACCTCAGTCACCACATGTCCCCTTCCAGCCCTGGGGAGCTGGCCCGTCCTCTCATGTTACCGGTGAGGCTCCAGGGCTCTTGGGGAGACAGGGCACCCAGGTCTCTCTGTGTCATGAGCCGGGGGCGGGTGAACACGGCTGGCCCTCCCATTTCCCTTCTGAATGATGGCTCTGAGACAGGTCCTGGAAACCCAGAAACCTGAGCACATCCCAGCACGTAGTTCTGTGGTTTGGTAGGATTATTTTTTCCCAGACTGAGGTCCCCACTAAAGGTCAGCGCTGGCTGGGAAAGCATCCTCTCCTTCCCTCCTCTCGGGTCTTCCTGCCCCCCCTCCCCATCTGCTCTCCTTAAGCCGCAGAGCCATCATTCCAACGCTCTTCTGGTCAGAGCCTTCCAGAGTGAAATTCCAAGTCCTTACAGTGACCTCAGGGACCTACGTGCTGTGTCCCCCTCACCTCCATCACCCCTCCAGTCTCGCCACTACCTGCGCCCGCCCCGTGTTCAGCCTCCCCACCACCTCCTGTCCAGCGCCTGCAGCCTGGGCTCCTCCTCCACTGAGGTCGTGGCCTCTGTGCCCCCTGGTCCTGCTGCTGGGGCATGAGAGGCTCATCCCCTCACCTCCTCAGTCTGCTCGACAAGCCTTCCCCAGCCACCTGATATCAAATCGCCGCCCCCAGCCAGCCTCCCCACTCACTGGTAGCCTGATTCTTTCCTCCTGGCACTTATCACCTCCGGACATGTTGTACAGCTTACTCATCTGTTATTTAACACACACACACACACACACACACACACACACACACGAACACACACACGCACACACACACGAACACAGGCTCCGGGGAACCCAGGACAGTCGGCAGACAGTACACACAGCAGGTGCACAGTCCGCTGTGCTCACCCTACCCCCGCCATGGCCTCCTCCCTGCGTGAGGCTCAGCCAGCACCGAGAGACAGAGGGCCAGGTTGTTTGTCTAAAGGAGGGTTCCCCAGCTGGGATGGGGACCAAGACCAGAGGCTCCCAGCCCAGGTCTCCAGCTGGAGACGACAGGAGGAGGCTCGATTTGAAACCAACACAGCTTCTAAGCAGAGGCAGTGGGAGCGTGGGGAGGGGCATGCACAGAGGGTTTGGGAGGATTGGGAAGGGCGGGAAGGGGCCCTCCAGGCTGAGATCAGAGACTGCCCAGATGCCCACAGGCCTGGAGAGGAGGCTCTGCAGCAGCCAGAGCTTTCAGGTCTGCTCTGCTGCCTCTGCCTCTCTCCTGCCACAGGGGAGAGGAGGCCTGCAGGCCAGTTTAAGAGCACGGGCTTTGGAGTCAGGCAGACCTGCGCTCGAGTCCCAGCAGTGTCCTCTTTCTAAGAGTGTGGCTTCAAGCTTGCCTTCCCTGAGCCTGGGAACACACCGTCGGCTTTATTTCCTTAGGGAGAGCTCTCACAAGTTCTCCCTAAGGTTTGAGGCAGCCTGGGTTATTGGTTTACCAAGGGACACCCTCCTCGGTGAAGGCGTCTACCCTTCCCAGCCCTGTGGACATCCACAAGCTGGGGAGCCAGCCCCCCAGTGGGTCCCAGGGCAGGTGCCGATAAAGCACAGCCCCTCCACGCACAGCCTGGGACCCCACGTCATGCCATGACTCAGGCCCTCAGGGCTGCTTCCTGTGGGCTGTGTGTGGGGCTCTCCCCGCACAGGGATGGGTAGCCCGGCTGGCCCTTTGGGTCCTTGAATCTTCCTGCCAGCCTGACCGAGCTCCCCCCTTTCTGGTTTCCTGGATCCCTTTCTGGTTTCCTGGATCCCAACCTGGCTTGGGGTTCAAACCTAGCCCATACCGACCCCTAAAGCCCTTCCCAGTGCGTGGCCTGGACGGGCGAAGTGCAGAGCCCTGGTTTGTCTACAGAGCAAGTGTTGGTGTGGGAGGGGCTCTGAGGCCAAAGACCTGGGTCCCAGCAAGGCCCCCCCCCTGCCTGGCTGTGTGACCCCTGAGCCTCCCAGGAGCACCATATGGGACGATACGATGGCCCCCTTGATAAACCCTAAGGAACATGGAAGAGGCAGGCGGAGGTTCAGAGGGCCTCTGGGAAGCACCATAGGGAACTGTTAAGAGGTGGAATCCCAATGCCTGGCTCACAGCTGGGTGAGGCACTCACCTTCATTAGAAAACCTAAGTTTTCTAATCTGTGAAATAGTACATCTAACTCAGGAAATTAAGGATGAAACATGATGATGCATATAAAGACTAGAACCTAACTGTTGCCTATTATTATTTTAAGATGAAGAAACGACAAACACTATTATAAACATGTTAGTCTCATTTAAAGATTCAACCTTGTCTGAGTGTGCCTGGAGCCGTGTGCGTAGCCCTCGGTCTGAGCCAGAGGCTCTGAGTGCGTGCGGCGGGGATGTGAGCTTCTCCTTCTCAGCTGCCCCCCCCACACACACACCTGGCCCTGGACGGGGTGGTGCCATCATTCCACAGCCCCAGTCAGGACTGGCTCTCAGGGAAGGCGGTGCCCAGTACCTGGTCTATGGTCCCCTGTGTTGCCATCCCCAGCTACCTGGACAGCCTGGATCGGATCGGGGCTGCCGACTACCAGCCCACCGAGCAGGACATCCTCCGAACCAGGGTCAAAACCACTGGCATCGTAGAAACCCACTTCACATTCAAGAACCTCCACTTCAGGTGAGGCCCAGGGAGGCTCCCGAGCCCTGGCGAGGGTGCCAAGAGATGGGCAAAGCCTGCCTCTCGGCCTCGCCTCGTCTGGAGCACCCAGATGTCACCCTGCCTCGGGGAGCGTTCGAGTTGGGACAGGCAGTTAGATACGAGAAGGGGCCTATCTGTGTACCTCTCTTGCACCAAGTTCGGGGGCTGGGGTGAGCGGGGAGGCTTCCTGGAAGAGGGGTCCTGGAGTGGGGGCTCTGAGGAACAGGGAAGATTTAAGCGGACAAGGGAGGGGAGTCCTGTCCCTGGGTGATTTCTGAGGAGGAGGAGGAGGAGGAGGAGGGGGGATCACCTAGGTGGCCCCTTGGAGGCCACCTTGTGAGAGGGGTGGGGAATAAGGTGGGTGAACCCAAGCGACGTGTGTGCAACCCCAGGACCCATGTCATCTCAGAGCTGTAGAGGGTTTGGAGATCAGCTGACCCACCCTCTCCTGGTACACTTGGGGAGACCGAGGCCTGGGAGGAGTAAGGCTGTCCCCAAGCACAGAACACAGCTCAAGCCCAGGGGTCTGAGCGCCTCAGAACAGGCCCTGCTGGAGGGTTGTGGCGCCACCTGGGGCAGCCTCCAGGCACTGAGGCCTGGGAGCCGCTGTCCTGCCCCTAACTGCCTCCATGTGTGGTTTCCAGGTGTCAGGTAGAACAGGAGGAGTGGCCTGTGTAAGGCCGCTTCTTGGCCCCCTGCCCACCCTGGGAGGGCTGGGCTCCAGGACCGCTGGCCAGCCCACGGCCCAGCCCCTGCCCGCTCTCACTGAGACAGAGGGCGTTGAAGTTCTGTCTCTATCTCCGCAGGGCCGCACGAGCCTCGCTGGGCACACGGACCCCTAGGCCTCCCCTGAACCTGGGGAGCACAGTGATGGGCACAGAGGCCCCACAAGGTGCCTCTTGCCCCCCTACTCTCTCCAGTCTCTCCCCGCTCAGCCCTCGGGGGCAGAGGGTGCGGGGCTGGGCTTGGGGCTGCCCGGCCTGCAGAGTCTGAGCATAAGCGCTGTGGAGGGGCCGCAGAGACCATCAGCCTGTGCCCAGCATTTCAGATGGGGAAGCAGGATCCAAGGGAGGCGGTGATGGGATGAGTACAAGGCCTGTTTCCTTGTTCCAGGCCCACTCTGGGCTCTGCCTGCGGTTACTGTCCTCTGTTGGGAGGTCAGGGCCCAGCCCACCCCGGCAGCTGTGTGCCAGCAGACCTCCCAGGCCTAGGAAGCAGTGGACCTTCATTCAGGGCGTTAGGTGTGAGGTTGACCTCTTCCTTCCAGGAACCAAGCCGCACCTGCCACAGTCAACCCCCACGGCCCTCCTGCCCCCTGGGGGATGGTGTCTGAGAGGGGGAGAGGGAGGGGAGGCACAGAGCAGAGGCTTTGTCTGCAGACAGACCTGGGTCTCACCCCACCTCTACCACACCAACTCCTGCCGGGACCCTGGGCACTTAACCCCTTGGTGCCTCACTGTCCCTCCATGTAGCAGGTGACGATCCCTGCCTCCCTCCTTCCCTCCTGGGCTGCTCTGGAGTTTTCACAGCCCACAGACGTGAACAGACACACTCAGAAAGCCAGGGACAGGATGTGCGTGTTACCCTGAGAGGACCTCGCAGAGGTGTTTCTCAGGAACCTTGCAGAGGCATTAGTAAAAGTCCTGAGATGCAAGGGCAGGTCTTCGAGTCTCTGTGGGAGCACAGCCCAGTCATGGGGCAGAAGCAGTGACGGCCACCCTGCCCCAGGGACGCGGCAGTCAGCCCTGAGCACCCGGAGTGAGGCTCCTTGGGAGGCTCATTGCTTGTACAGCCCCCTCCCCCCCGCCGCCTGCTTGACCAGTGTCCGCACACCGACCGGGGCCCCACCGCCCACCACGTCCAGCTTCCCTGTCTCCCCTGCAGGCTGTTCGACGTCGGGGGCCAACGATCTGAACGCAAGAAGTGGATTCACTGCTTCGAGGACGTCACGGCCATCATCTTCTGTGTCGCGCTCAGCGGCTATGACCAGGTGCTCCACGAAGACGAGACCACGGTGAGTGGCCCTGGGCCGCCTGGCCTCAGTGGACCAAGGCGGCTCTCAGGTGGGGCTGGCTGCGGTGGCCGGGGGTTCCGTTGTCGGCCAGGCCATGCCCGGGCTCCCTCTTCTGACTTCGTTGCGGGGCAAACACCTCGTGATGCCGATGCAGCAAAGGCAGCCACAGGCCGCCCTGCTCAGAGGCTGCATGCAGACTGGTGACAAACGTCTCTGCGGACTCTGGGTCTCGGGCAGTACGTGCCTCTTTAATAAATTCAGCAGGGTCACAGAGGCCGTCAGGCCAGAACCAAATTAAGCAAATCCTAAATGAAATCAGGGTGCAGTCGAGCAAGAATGTACGTAAGACAGAAATAGCAGTTCTTAGCCCTCACGGCCCTCCCTGAGCAGTGGACGGGGCTGGTAGCCGGAAGGGCAATGGGACATGGCATGTAGGCGAGTGACAGCGGTGGCGCGGGCCGGTCCCCTGGAGGAACCCAGCCCAGGTTCCCGCCTCCCGTCAATGCGTCTTCAGTCTGGGGCCTCAGAGAACTGCCAGGCTGGCTTCAGAGGGGGGCCCTCACCTGGAGAGGGCGTGGCCTTTCTCTGGGCCTGGGCTGGGCCTGGGCCTGGTTTGCTGCTGAATTCAGGCAGCACTCTCTCTGCCTCGGTTACTGTCTGCTGTCAAAGGGGTGTAACCATAGTACCTGCCTGGTGGGGCGTTGGCAATGGAGTGAGAATCCGCGAGAAGTACTTGGAACCGTTTCTGGCACAGCAGCGCCGAGCTGGTGGTTGTATTATCACCGGGGATTGTGCTGAGCTGGGGGCCCACTGAGCTGCCCGTGGAGAGGTGGGCCTGCTGCAGAGCCTGCAGGGAAAGCCGAGCACTGGCCCGGCACACCACGGGTTCTCCGGAGACAAGCACCAGCCGCGGTAGGGCTCCTGGGCTGTGGGGTCACACCTTTGGCGATCGTTAGCTCCTGCTGTGTGAAGCAGGCACAGGGCCCTGGCACTGAGGGTTTGGGGCTGGGCTCGTCACGGTGGGCCTTGAGCAAGGCCTGTCTTCTCTCTGGGCCTGTCTCCTCAGTCCCTGCCTGCTGGTCCCTCGGGGCTGCTGCGAACATCTGCTGAGCTGTGGGGTGCAGTGCTGTGGGGAGGAGGAGCCGCCGTCCTGTGGGACTTATGCAACAATGAGGCCGTGGGAAGATTGGGGCCAGGGCCGCTGGCCGGGTGGGTGATCCGGACTCGCGCCACGTGCTGGCTTGTCCCCCTTGCCCTTTCTCCTTCAGCCCCAGGTACACTCCTGAGTTAGGCATCAGCAAAGCCCCCCAAGCCCTGCCTTGTTCCAGGGCGAGTCTCTGGGGCCCCAGCTGTGCAGCTCTTTCTGGTAATGCCGTAATCATTCTCAGTGGCCTCAGCTGGCTGTGGCGTCTAAGATCACCAGATCTGGACCCACTGACCACCCCAAAGCCCCAAAGGTCGGCTCCTGCTGCCCCCACAAGGCACCCGCGTGCAGGGACTGCCCCGGCACATCTCTCACTGGTCCGTTGTTGACTCTGCTTTTGGACCCACTGTTCACGGTCCACTTGGCCACTCAGGTGGTCTGAGATCCAGGTGGCTCATCTTTTCTTCCTGCAGTGCCTGGGAGTGGGAAGCAGGGCTGGTGCAGTGAGCAAAAAGCTGATCCTGCCGTGGGTTTCAAACAAACTGAAGCACTGGGGTGTCGAGGGCCCCAGGCCTCTCCCTGGGGACCCGCTCAGCTCAATCCCAAGTCCCAGGCCCATCAGCCCTGGGGCAGGGGCTCGCACTCACCTCTGGAGCACAAGGCAGAGCAGAGGGACGTCTGGGCGGGTCTGGCAGCCACGGGGTCCCAAGCTCCATGGCCCTCGGGTCTCCAGTAAACACGGGCGGGTGCCAAGCCTCACCCTCGGATGGCCTCTCTGGTCTGCTCGCCCAGGCAGCCCTCGCTCCGGAGCAGGGCCCGTCCTGGGGCACCTTCCTTCTCGCCTTCCTGCCTTTACTGTCTCTCTCCCACCTCCCTCCTTCTCCCCCATTTCCCCGCCCTTCTTCACAAGGGCTGGAGCAGAGGACCTTGGGGAAGCAACAGCACGTGGGGCCACAGCCAGGAGCAGGCTCTTCCTGGGGCTCTGTCCACCCAGGAAAGATCAGCAGCTCCTCCAGGGCACGGGAGTTGGCTTTACCACTTAACAAGAGCCCACAAAGGCAGCTCATTGCCACGGTGACAGCAAGAACAGCGCTGTAGAGCTGAGCAAAACGCCTGTGTGTCCAGGGCCAGGTGGCAGCGTTGGGCAGCGGGGGGTCTGGGCGGATGTGGCCCGCGGTCTAGCCCCGCCCCCTCCCGCCAGTGAGTGTGGCAGCTGCTCCACCTGCTCCTCTGTAAAATGGAGCCCGTGGCAGAGCAGCCTCTGGGCGGCTGTGAGGACCAGCAGGCTCAGAGCTGCAAGAGTGCCTGCCCTCAGGGCTCTCCACTCAGCAGACGGCAGCTGTGGGATGGCTCTGTCCAGGCACACGGCTCAAGGACAAGCTATGGGACGAGGACGCTCTGCCCCTGCGAGGCAAGAGCTCCACCCTGCTGACCAGTCCTTGGTCCTCCACCTTCCTCTCTGGTCGGCCCTGCCCCTCCCTCCCAAGCCTGGGGTAAAAATTGGGACTGCCTGAGAGAAAGGTGTCTGGAGGCTCCTGGAGCTCAGCCAGGACCCCTGGGGCTAGTGGCTGCCCGCACACCGGCCGGCCACCCTGCCCACTGTGGCCCAGACCCCAGCGGCCCCGGGCCTCACCTGCCACAACTTCTCAGCGCCAGTGCCGTCACCGCCACCTGCAGGGCCTTAACTTGCCAAACCAAGGCCAAAACCATGAGCAGATTCTGAGAGACCCTCCAAGTCGGGCAGGTATGAAGCGCCTCCTTCCAGTTGATACCATCAGCTAAGAGTTGAAAGCAGCAGGTTCCCAGGGCACCGCCGGGTGACTTTGCTGTGAAGCCTGCCCCCCACTCCCGCGTTCCACACTCCTCACCAGCCACTCGGCTTAGGCTGGTCTTCCCCACCCTCGCCTTCCATCTCCAGCCACGCAGTCCACAGCCCCAGGGTGGCCGTGGCCTCCAGAGCCTGCACAGGGGCCTCTGGAGGGACCGGCTTTGACTTCCTGGCCCGAGACCGGTTGAACCAATTTTGTTTTTTGCTTTTTTTTCTCTTTCTTTCTCTCATGTTTTCTGCTGGGTTTTTATCTTCCTCTCTGTTTTCGTCTGTTTTGCTGGCTTTCATCTTGGGGTTCTTCTGGCCCCTCTACCGGGAAACCAGCCTCAAAAGCAGCTCATCCAGAGCTGCCCCACGGCCCAGCCAACCCACCCAGTCTCCAACCACACCAAGGCCACAGCAAGATCACTCCCCCGACGCTGTCCCCCTGGTGTCTGCTTCCAACTCTGGATTAATTCGAGGATCTCTTGGTCCTCGGTTAATGTTTCCCAACTGAATGCGTGCACCCTCCCACCCCTGCTGGCGAAACCAAATGAGACCCCAGTAGAGAAATCTGCATGCCGGAGGTCCCGTGTGGACGTGTGGATGGTGGCGCGGCCCCTGCCCCCGCGTGCATGGTGCATGTCCTCTCCATGGGCGAGAGTCCCTCTGGTGACCCCACTGCCCTGGCCCGGGTCAGCCCTCTTCAGTGGGGGGGTGGCGTTCCCCACCCTGTGCCCTGCTCCACCCCCCCCCCACCTGTGTGTGGAATGCAACAGGGACCATGTCCTTGTCCTTGTGGATCCTCCTGTCTCCGTCCCTGGTGGTGCATTCAGCCGTGTTGGTGGACCTTCCCTTCGCTTGTCCCGCTTTGTCACTGGCCGCGGTGGGTCAGGGCCCCGGGCACCGCCAGCCCTCACTCGCCTCTCCACTCTGTTGCAGAACCGCATGCACGAATCGCTGAAGCTCTTCGACAGCATCTGCAACAACAAGTGGTTCACGGACACGTCCATCATCCTGTTTCTTAACAAGAAGGACATATTCGAAGAGAAGATCAAGAAGTCCCCGCTCTCCATCTGCTTTCCTGAGTACACAGGTAGAGACTGCCACTCCCCACGGGGACCGCGGGGGCCACGCAGCCGCTCGGGCCACACCAGCTCCTGAGGGAGCTCATTCCCCCTCACCATGCTCTGTGGACACACCAGATTCTGCCCTGGAGAATCCAACACAAAACCGAAGGCGGGTCCCCTCCTTTCCCCACAACATGCTGTTGCGAGGGGGTGGGGCAGCCAACTGGGGCATCCTGGTCAGGGGAAGCAGGGCTGGAATCCCAGCTCTGCCACTTACGAGCTGTGTGATCTCGGCAACCTCTGGACATCAGCTTGGTCATCTGTAAATAGAGCTTATCAGTAAAATGGCAATACCAAGAAGATGATGGGGTTGAAGATTGGGGCTTCGAGTCAGACAGCCCAAGGTTCGTGCCCCCACTCTGCCACTCACAGCAGGTTACATAACCTCTCGGAGCCTTCGTTTCTGTGTCTGTGAGATGGGAACAATCACTGTGATTATCCACCCTCCCTCCCAGAGTTGCCAGAGGACAAAGTGAGCTAAGAAGCACGGAGGGCTTAGCATGGCAGTCGTTGCATAGTACGTGCTCACTAGACATTCGCTATTGCTCTTATGACTGTGATGCTAAAAAGTATCGTGACAGCACCCCCATTCAAATGGCCTGTTGAACGTGAGAGAGCTTCCCAAGCAGCAGAGATCAGGGCCGTCCTGCGGAGGGTGCTGAGGCTGCCGGAGTCCACCTCTGTTAACGTTGCCATGGGTTTACCTGACTGTGGGTGGGTGGGCAGCCTGGCCAGGGCCCTCATGGTGCAGCAGGGTGCCTGGAATAGTCCACGGGCCCACTGGCTCTTCAGGATGGCCAGAGCCTGGTCAGAGAGGCGAATGGAAGCAAAAGCGGGCATCCCCAGCCTGACCAGCCCCCCGGCCTGGAGAGCACAAGGGTAGACAGGGTCCCAACAAGGTGAGCCTGCTAGGTGAGCCTCCGGGCTGAACCCCAGCCCCCTGAGAGTGGACGTCGGGGCCATGGCTTGGAGCCGGACAAGCGGCACAGCTCACTCTGTCTCCCCTTCCTCGAGATCAGGCTGCCTGCCCCGCGGGTCAGGCCCCAGCAGCATGCAGCCAGAGGTGGGCCGGGCTCAGCACCCCTCACACCCGCCAGTCAGCCTCCTTTTAGTCGTATCTGAATTGGGGGTCTGTGGATCCTGCCCTAGGTGACCTGGGTTGTGGCCCATGGTGCAGCGGAAAGAAGCAAGGTGAGTCAGTCACCAAGGCCGTTTGGTGCTGACGAGGCCCCAGGGACCCTCTCCCTCACCACTGGCCCAGATTTAGGTAGACCCTCAAGGCCAGGCCTGGTGGCCTGTGCCCATGTGCCGAGGGGCTGGGTCTGTCCTGCTGTGGCTCCAAAGTCCAGCCCCCCTCCCTCCCTCAGTGGGTTGTGACAGCCCTGCCTGGACCTGGGCCTGGGCCGGGGTTCCTGGAGCCTGTAGAGGCTTCAGGGCAAAGCCAGGAGTCCTGTTCTGTTCCTCCCTAAACAGCATCTGCTCTCCTGGAAACGCCTCTCCCTGGGCTCACCAGGGACAGAGTGATATGGCAGCAAGGAAGGCAGCAAGTCAGCAAGCCAGACAGTTCTTAATCCCTGGAGGGTGAACATGAGAAGGAGGAAGGGGGAAGGAAGGAGGGTGGGGCGATGAGAGGAAGGAGGCCAGGGCGGCTCCCAGGTGTGGCACAGTTTCCACCCACCTTGCCCAGCAACAGTCAAGGAAGGTGGTGTCCCTGCCCACTCCGAGGAGTCACAGCCAGGAGAGGACAGCCTGCAGGGGCTGGCGCAGACTTCTGCACCTGTGTGAGGACTGGTTCAGATTTCTTTGGGCAGGACCCGCAGGAAGAGAGAATGTTTGCATCAGGAGCCCGTACATGCATCTATGAAAAGAAACAGGAGTTCCATGAAACAGTGTTCACCCTTAGCACAGGTGAGGCCTGGTGAGGTTTGATCTCTTGTTTCCGTCATTGGTTTTAAACTGGATGTGGACCACGGACTTGGTTTCATGACCCACTGTTGATCGAGCTGAGCTGTCGTCAGGTTTCTCCTGCAGGGTTGTCACTGAGAGGCCCTTGGTGTCCGCTCCCCAGCCCGTGGCCTGACCGGCACCCAGCTGGGGGCCTCGCCTCACCAGCTCCCGACCTGGTCTCTCCCGCAGGCCCCAACACCTTCACGGAAGCCGTGGCTCATATCCAGGCGCAGTACGAGAGCAAGAACAAGTCGGCCCACAAGGAGATCTACACCCACATCACCTGTGCCACTGACACCAACAACATCCAGTTTGTCTTTGACGCCGTGACGGACGTCATCATCGCCAAAAACCTTCGGGGCTGTGGCCTCTACTGAGCCCTGGCCCCGCCACCCAGCTGCCCACCACCCTGCCCAGCCTGCCGCCCCACCCCTGCCCTGGACAAGGGAGCACCAGCAGATGGCACTGAGTGGGGAAGAGGAGGCGCCCTCCACGGCCTCCCCCGCCCCAGACACCAGAACACGTGGTAACGGGGCTGGCGGGGGCGCCGAGTTCCCACACCTGCCGAGACAGACGGCCCGCTGGCCTCCGCGCCATCGCTGGGTGTCTCCCCGGGAGAGAGGCGTATGGGGGCCGCGCCGCCGTCCGGGCCAGAATGGGCGCGCTCTGCACGCAGTGGTTCAGGCTTGAGGTCCCAGAGTCCCCTCCTGTCTTCGAAGCTGTGCAGGTGGTGGGGCGGCGTGCTGGCCGGAGCGGGGGCAGTGGGAGCCGCTGCTCAGCTTTTCTTGGGGTCCCTCTGGTCGAGGGCAGCTCCGTCACCAAAGGCCAGGGTGGGATCAGGCCACCAACCGCGTGTGGGTCCGGGGGCTCAGGCCTTGGCAGTGCCTCCCTCCTCCTCCCCCTGGACCTCAGCCCCGGACGCCTGTCCTTCCTTCTCTGGGCCTCCCTCCCTTCACACCTCTGGGGCTCCCCAGTGCCCTCCTGGGGAACCCCCACCCCGACTCCTCACAGGTCTGGAAATGCTTCTGAGACCGACTTCTTGCAAAGGCACGTGGTAGATGGTCGGCGGGGTTGAGTCCTGCGGTGCCTGGACCGAGGTTGGGAAGAGATGGTGGGGGAGCGGAGGCCGGAGGAAGTGGCTCTTGCGTTGACTGGGATGGGGGCCTCCCACCTGGTCTTTGTAGGCCCCAGGGTGGCTTATCTACTTCTCCCGTCAGTCACCCAGGGCTTGGGCGGCCGCTCTGGAGTGTGAGCAGATGTGCTTTTTCTTTGCAAATTCATGGCGAATCCAACACAAACCAGCTGGGGCAGCAGGGGGCCTGGGGACTGGAGGTTCTGTAGTTGAGCAGGCCCAGGGTAGGTGTGGGCACGGCCCCTGTAGCCGGTGTCCAGATCCCTGAGGAGAAAAGGGTGGGGTGACTCCTCCTGGTGACCCAGGCCCTGGCTGACCTTGGACAATGAACACACCTCTTTCTCTCTCTCCTGGGCGCCTCCCGTTGGCGGATGCCACCAGTCAACACCCCAGGCAGACCCTGTGTGCTTGGATGGCGGCTTTGCCTGGGGAGCCAGATGTGCCCACAGGAGGAGAGGGGCCGCGCCTGAGGGGCCTCTGGCTCCCTCCTCAAGCCCTCTGCTCCTCCAGCACCCGCTCTGGGCTCTGCTCAGTCCCGGGCCAGGCAGGACCCCTGCCCTCCCAGCGCAGCCGCTGACTGCCCCGCAGCCAGGAGCTCTGGGCTTCTCGCTTCCAACAGACCCGGAGCTCTGGGTAGTGCACGGGAGACCCAGGGCACCTTCCCTAGTGCCAGTCGCCTGCAGGGGTGGGCACTGCTGGGGTGAGCCCCATCCCTGCCTGGCTGTCTTGCTGCTGCCCCTGGCCTCATGGGAGATCAGCAGGCAGCCCAGCTCCATTTCGGCTTTGCTTGCCTCGTTGTGTGCTGCGCCTCGTACAGGGTGCTGGGTCGTGGCAGAGGACAGGCCCCTGGAGCCGACAGCCGCAGTGTCCCACACGGGCAGCCAGGGCCAGTCGGGCCATGTTGTCCGACACTGAAGGCGTAGCAGTTACTTCCTGGCAGCACCACCCTGGGTGTGGGCAGCTGTGCCCCTAACGCTGCCCTGTTACCCCAGACTCAAAAGCAACTGCTAAGAAGGGTATACTGGCCAAGCCCCACCTCTAAGGCCATTGTCTTGGAGGTGGGAGTCACCTGCTCTCCAGGCCCAGGGCAGCAGCCAGGCTGAGGGCCCCGGGCCATAGCCCACCCCGTCTGCCATGTTAGGAGGCTGGGGAGTGGGGTGCTTGGGGCCTTCCTGCCCCTCCGTGCCCTGGGCTGCCTTTTCTCTCTCAGATGCTCTGCCCTGCTCAGCTGCTTATGCTACTCTTGCCCTCTGACCCTGGCCTGCCCAGGGGGTCCTTGGCTGTCTAGTCGAAGCCCCCAAGGAGCAGGTATCCAGGGTGAAATTCCTTCCCTGTCCTCTGCGTCTCCCATCCACGTCGTCACAGGTGGCTCCACCATGGGGAGGAACGACTGAGGGGACAGATGAGTTTTGGCTCCGTCGTGGGTGTGGGTGTGGGGGAGATGTTATGAGTGACCGGACGTGGGTGATTCTCTTATCCAGAGTGGCCCCGTGTGTGCCCCAAAGAGGCCATGCTTCGACTCTCCGCATGCCTCTAGTTTATCAGAGCAAAGGGAAACTGATCTCTAGGAGGGGCGCCTTTACCAGACCCGTGAAACTTAGGCCTGCCGTCTAGATGCCTGTGGGCAGGTTCTGTGCCCTGCACCAGTTGCCCTCACAAGAGCCAGGTCTTAGCCTTCCCACCAAGAACTGAGAGAGGCCCCCAAGGCTCTCCGGCCTGCCTGGAGGGGGCAGTGCCTGAGGCCCAAGGAAGGGCTCTGTGGAGCCTGTGGACTCTGGCCTGAGGAAGGTGCAGGGTCTGCTCCAGCCCTGAGCAGACAGCACACCAACAGTTCTGACATTCTGGTTCTATGGCCCCCTTGCCTGGAGCCCTAGATGCCTGGTGCCCTGGCCCTTTTTCTCCTCTCTGGTCCCAGCAGAACCTGAGGACCCATGGGCACATGCTCCTACCATGGGGCGGTGGGCGCAACCCGGGCAGAAGGCCAGCACCGGATATGGTGCCAGGAGGCAGCTCTCCTCCCAGCCTCTCCCCCGAGTCCAGCTCCGCCCCACTGATGGGAGCTGGAGGCACCCCTGTCCTCCACGACTGCCCTCCCTACCCAGAGCCCCCATGACCAGGGTCCTTAAACCCCCAACACGGAACACCCAGGAGTCGGCTCACCTAGCTCACCTCTGCCAGGGAGAGTCCCGCAAGGGGAGAGAATATCCCACTGCTTCCACCTAACCCTGTGACAGTCTCTGCCCCACTGGTTGATTCTGTAGATTCTCCTCTCTGGCCTGCATCATTCCTGGCTCCTTCCCCTCTTCCCTTGGCCTGACCTAGTACACTCTTCAGCCCTCTTGGTGAGTAAATCCACTGCAATCCGGGCCTCAGCCTCTTCCCTCCAGACCAGGTAGTGTCCTGCCCGGCCCCCTTTTTGAGAAGTCTGGTGCACAAGGCCTCTTCGGGCGGCCTCTGTCCTTCCCCGAGCCTTCCGGAAGCCTTCAGGCACAACCTGGCAGTTCTCAGGAACTGAGGCTTGAGGCTCTGGCTCCGTGGCCATCAGAGATTCAGTCTTGGGTGCCAAAGGCCAGCACCCTCCAGACAGCGCCCCTTGTCAATCCACAAGCATACAGAGCGGAGGGTCCAGCAGCCCAGAGCAGTGAGACAGGACACAGCATCCAGACCAGGATCAGGGCCCGGGTGTGAGCTGCTGCCCCCCACTGCCCGCCCCCAGGGAGGTGAGTCCTCAGCCCTCTTTCCCAGGAGCCAAGTGGGGCCTTCCCTTGGGGGCTTCAGACACGCTGCACCCCCAACCAGATGAAGGCCCCCGTCAAGGGAGGGCCTGCTCAGGGCAGAGACAGAAGGGAGGCCCATCCAGGCCCAGGGTGCCCAGGGCACCAGCATGAACCCACCGCCCGTCCCCGGCAAAGCCAGCCGCTCGGAGGCACCACCCCTCCTGTGGCCCATCCTTTCCTCCCCTGCTCCCCACCCCGCCCCATCCCCGTGGCCTCCCTGAGCAGCCAGGCCCTTCACCTCCTGGTCCCCTCTGTCTTAGTCCCTGCGTCCTCTGTGCCCTGTGCCTCCTCCCCTCCCCGTCCCTGGCAGAGGTGGGCTTGGGCGCCCCTCTCCTTTCTTAGCAAACCCCTCTTAGGTGCCGTGGTCCCACTTCCCGACCCCAGCGCCACCCAGCCCATATTAACTGTAATTTTGTAAGAAGAGCGACTCGTCGGTTTAATAAATCTCTAGTCATTGTAATAATTTATTGGCTGCCGTAATGTATTTATTAGTCACCCACCATTAATAAAAAGTGCCAGCTTTTCCTAGCGCGAGTGTGGTGTGTTGCATCAGTGCCCAAGTTGCTTCCACCGGCGCCCCCCGCACGACACGTGTCCTGGGGCCGGACTGTGGGCCACCTGGCAGAGGGGCACAGCCTGCTGGGGCAGGATTCCGGGTGACCGGGATTGTCGTGAGGGCAGAGGCTGGTCTGTCCCATCCCTTGTGCTTGGTGCCGGCCACGCCCCTGCTCCAGTGGCGGCAGCCAGGCCGCTGGCCACGCTCTGCTGGAGACTGGGAGAGACAGGGTGGTGACGACAGCAGGGGTGGGTGCTGTCGCCTGGCTGTGGCTCCTGGCTCCCTTCTCTTTTCTCACATGCTGACAACTCCTCTTGTGAATGTGTTCTTGCATCTGTGTTCTCCGGGGAAGCTTGGATGGACAAGCTGGGCTCTTGGCTCCTTGGTGATGGGTTCCAGTGTGTTTGGAGGGATGGCGGTGAGGCCTGTGGGGTGTGGAGGGGTTCTCGGTGCCGGCGCCTCCCCTCCCTGCAGCGGCTCCCCTCCCAACTGCCCTCCCTGCATCTCCAGGCTCAGCCCCTCATTCCAGGCTCACTCCAATGCCCTCCCCACGGGACCAGGCCTGACTGGGGAGCGTCGCTGCCTCCCCGGCCCCGCCCCCGCTCTGTGCCGCTCGCTCGCTTGCTCGGAACCGGGACTTTTTCACGTGTGTGCATTTTCTCTCCCCAACTAGACTGTGAGCTCTCGGAGAGCAGGAGACTGTGCCGGTCGTTCCTACAGCCCCGTAGCTGCCCCACGGAGGGCCTTGCACACAGATCCAGCTGGTATTGGTGGGAAGAGTGCCCGCTCTGCAGCCCTGGGGCGTGGAGGGGCCGAGCCTTAGCCGAGTGGAACTCTGGAGCCCAGGCAGCTGGCCTGGATTTTTCCTTCGGACCTAAGCTTGGCGGCCTCCAGACCTTCAGCTCAGCCCACATGCCAAACGGGCACAGTCCGCACTGTCCGCTTGGGTCTCCCTAGTGGCCCCTTCTGGTCCTGGGGGTGCCCTGGGCATATGTCCCCACCGCGTCCCCCGACGTCTAGATCAAGTCGAGATAGTTGGGCAGTGAGTTGGGATCTTGCCTCTGGTTGAGGCCTTCCAGCTGTTGGTTGAGCAGCGATAGGACAAGGTGGTGGTGTGTGTTGGTGAGGCTTTTGCTATCGAATCCTTGGCTCTCCTCTGCTCCCTGGTGGCTCGGGGACCCTGGGCGTTCCCAGCCCCCACCCCCCTGCGCGTGGATCCACCTGGCCTCCCAGGAAACCTCCGCCTGCCCTTTTCTGAACAGCCTCCATTGAGACGGCACCGGGCGGAAGTGTCTCATGCCTCCCTGAGCGTGACTATGCAGTGACTGACCAGTAGAAATTGCGGGGACTGAGAATGAAATTGACTGGTTGAGGCTAGGAGGGTAATAAGATCATAGGAGTTTGCTGAATATGTGCGGCAGAGTGAGAGGACGATGCCATTTATTTACTACA